TGCAACCCTGTTCCTGCAGTCACTAACAACAATGCAGTCCCTGGTACTTCTGTACAAATGCCTACAAGTTCCCAGACCATGTGCAGACATTTTTATAACCTGCTAGTCACGTACGGTGGTGCAGAGTTTTGAGTTTCCAGATAATGACCATACAATAACTTCTTGATGTCTTTGCACATTTTATTTATTTATTTATTTATTATGATATTTCTAACCCATCCAATATGAAATGTCTCTGGACTGGACGGCTTACAGAGTGATAAATATCCAATACATGAAAAAATACTCTAAATTGGGAGTCCTCAAACTTTTTCAACGGGGCCAGTTGAAAGGTGCCAGTGGTGGGCACAGGCCGGCAAGGCGGTGCTGGTGGCGGGGGCGGGCCGGTGAGGGGGTGGGGGTGTGGGCGGTGCACGAGCCGGTGCGGCAAGGCCGGGGCGAGGGGCGCGGGGTGTGTGCGAGGCGAGGCAGCGGCTTGCTTGCTCGGAGAGTGTTTTCTCTTAGTGAGTCTAAAACAATCTCTGCGCGAGCAAGCCATTGCCTCGCGGGTGCGGGTGCAGCGAGTCCAAAACCTGTGAGGCAGGCCAGATAAATGGGCATGGTGGGCTGGATTCAGCCCCCGGGCCGTAGTTTGAGGACCCATGCAATCAGAAATACAGCAATGGGGTGGAAAATGTGACTGATTGAGCTTTATTAACCTGTCAGTTCAGTAAATTTCCTGCAGTTTGAATCAGCCTCTATGTTTGTTTAAACATGCAGATGTGTTTGCTTGGGAAATCATTAAGAAAACTGATTTGACAGCTATGCTGTGCCTAGTAAGTGAAGGTTTGCTAGTTTGTACTCTGTTTCTGGGCTTCTGATGGCTGCACTCTCTTAGCATGTGCCTCCACTTAACTAGACACTTTTTTTTACTGCAGCTGTGAATTCCTGAGCAGATTAAGTGGGTTCATTCTCAAACAAATGGATACTTTTGTATCAGCTGCCTGCAGCTGATGGAACACAGGTATTTCCCCACTGAGAGTGCTAGCGTACTGCTTCTTCTCAGGCTAGGTAAGAGTTCCAACTTCTTAAAGTAACAGCAGTACTAAACAGCAACCTGGCTTGGAATTCTGGTGGTTTCTGAGAAAGAGCTATAGGTATTTTCATAACACAAAGGCACATATCAGCAACCTTTTTCTACCAAGGACTATCTGAATTTCCCAACATACAGAAGAAGCTAAGAGGGAAATCTCTCCAAGCTGGGAGAATAGGTATCAAAATGCATTTAGGCAAGTGTAGAATCATGCATGTTGGGAGAAAAGAGGAGAGGAGAGGAGAGGAGAGGAGAGGAGAGGAGAGGAGAGGAGAGGAAATCCCAACTACAAGTATATACTGATGAGATCAGAATTAGTAGTAACTGAGCAAGAAAGGGATCTTGGGGTAGTAGTGGACAACTCAATGAAAATGTTCACCCAGTGCGCAGCTACTGTGAAGAAGGCCAATTCTATGTTAGCCATGATTAGGAAAAGAATAGAAAATAAAATTGGCAAAATCTTACTTCCCTTATACAAATCTTTGATGCAACCACTCTTGGAATATTGTGTTCAATTCTGCTTGCCTTACCTGAAAAAGGACATTGAGTTGGAAAAAGTACAGAGAAGGGCAACAAAATGACCAGGGGGCTGGAGCAGCTCCCCTATGAGGAGCAGCTACAACGACTGAGACTGTTACTTAGAAAGAAAGGCGAGTGAGGGAAGACATGATAGAGGTGTTTAAAATAATGCATGGGGTAGAGAAAGTAAAGAAGGAGGCATTTCTCTCCCCCCCCCCCCGCCCCAATACTGGAACCAGGGGTCATTCTATGAAGCTGATTGGTGGGAAGTTTCACACAGATAAGAGGAAGTACTTATTCACACAGTACATAGTTAATCTATGGGATTTTCTGCCATGGGAAGTGGTGATGTCCACTGATCTAGATGGTTTTACAAACAGATTGGACAGATTTGTGAGGGAGGAGGCTATCAGTGGCTATGTGGCTTACTGGCTATGTGCCCTGTCCTTCACCAGAGGTGGCCTGTCTGAATACCCCAGTGCTGAGGAGCTTGGGCAGGAGGAAATCTTGCACTCCTCCTGCTTGAGGGATCCTGTTGACAGCTGGTTTGCCACCATGCGTACAGAGTGATGGACTAGATGGACCTTTGGTCTGTTCCAGCATAGCTTTCCTTATGTTCTTAAGAAATACTATGTTCTAGAGGGAAAAAACTTTCAAGATTTCAGAGACTTCATGTAGTGCAAAATGGAGTTGCTAGTAGGTTAAATAGGAACTGGCTGAAGAGAACATATCTCACCAATCATCAATCATCTTTCCTGGGCGTCTGTATATCTCTGAGCACAATTAGGACTACTAATATTTATCTTTAACACTTTATGTGGTTTAACAACTGTGGACTACCTTTTCCCATGAGCCTACAAATAGATTATCTTAATTTGAATCTTGTTGTCTGAACTGACTCAACTGGACATCCTAAATCAGCTACATCATGGGGGAAGACTAGCTTAACGCCAAGTCCAAAGGCTTTTCAGAGCCAGGCAAAGACTTTATTTTACTGTCTGCTGCTGGCTTTACTGTTATTTGTTCAATTTTAGTTTATGCCATTTTGCAGGTGCTATGAATTTCCCTGGGAGTTTTAACACTAGTGGTATAAAAGTGTTGTTAAAACAAAATCAGTTTCCCAGCAAGTAGCTATATTGTGGCAGAGCACAACTGCCTGGACACTTGCTGATTGGAGCCAGGCATTCTGGTATGGTCCACCCAAGTTACACTAATTGAATCCAGTGCCAGTTTAGCTGTGTCGACACTCCATTTAAAATGCTGGTTTTGTCTTTTAAAGACCTAAGTCAGTGGTGGTGAACCTATGGCATGCATGCCACAGCGGGCACACAGAGCCCTCTCTGTTGGCACGGGAGCCAAGTCGCCCCAACATCACCCCAGTAGCCAAGCATTGGTAGACAGCGCACATAGGGGCCGTGCGCATGCTCAGAAAAGAGTAGTGGTGCCAGGCAAAGATGTCATGAGCCGCAACTCATCAGCTGTGACTTGTCCGAGCTTTCGCATGGCCAGTCACTGCGCTGCCAAGGAGATATATATATTTGCTTGGACTCGCTGTGAGTTGTTTTTTCAAAACTAAAACCTCAGTTTTCAGGTTTTATTGCAGTGTTGGCACTTTGCGATAAATAAGTGGGTTTTGGGTGGCAGTTTGGGCACTCAGTCTCTAAAAGGTTCACCATTGCTGGGTTAGGGTTAGAAAAACGTGGTATCCTGGTATAATTTTGATGGTTGGAATGTGTTTGGAATGGGCAGAAATGATAAGCAGGGCAGAAAAAGCTTCTCAAGGAAGCCTTTTTCAAAATCACCCTCTTTTCTATGGAACTTTAACCCTATGTTAGGGTTAGGGGTGTGCACCAGAGTACGGTTAGGATTAGAAAAATGAGGTGTCCTGGCATGCTTTTGATGGTTGGAATGTGTTTTGAATGGGCAGAAATGATGAGCTGTGTAGATAAAGCTCCTCAAGGAAGGCTTTTTCAAAATCATCCTATTTTCAATGGAACTTTAGCCCTATATTAGGGTTAGGGGAGTGCACCAGGGTAGGGTCAGAACAGTGGTGGTGAACCTATATTCGGAAAGGAGTAGCGGTGCCAGGTGATGATGTCATGAGCCATGGCTCATTAGCCGTGACTCATCTGAGCTTTCGCATGGCTGGTCAGTGCACTGCTGAGGATATATATATATATTTGCTTGGACTGGCTGTGAGTTGTCCTTTCCAAACTAAAACCTCAGTTTTCAGGTTTTATTGCAGTGTTGGCACTTTGCAATAAATAAGTGGGTTTTGGGTTGCAGTTTGGGCACTTGCTCTCTAAAAGGTTAGCCATCACTGCCCTAAGTGGTTGGATTCCAGACTATCTGAAGGTTTACCTGCAGCTGTATAAATCTGGTCTCAGAATCTTAGGTCCACTAACAGGAGGAATTAAATTGATGGGACCATCACTGAAAAAGCCTGATTAAACATGTCTGAAAACCTCCACTACCACACCACTACCTAGTTAAGATGCATTTATTATTTTAAGCTGTTGCTGTCAATGCTTCAGTTTCTTGAATTTGTTGTATTTGATCTGCCATGCTGGATCGTATAGTGTTTGACTGCTGTTTTTAGGTTTGTATAATTGTAATTATATTAAATTTTAGTGTATTTTTGAGCCACTTTGGGGACAGCTTTGTTCTCAAATGCAACATAGAAACACTTTTGTTTTGAATGAAAGCAGACTCAAGTGTCACTGTAATTAAATGTTTATTTTGGCAAGATATAAACAGTTCCTCTGCCACCACCAAACAAATTAAGTTTGCAAGAACTAAGCTGTTTCAAATTAATACAGTATTTATAAACTCTTAATATGTATAAGAAAAAAAGCTGCAGTTCTATGCGCACGTGCGAGTAAGTCCCATTGATCTCAATGGGGCCTCTGTGTAGACAGACACGGGAATGCGCTGAAAGTAAGTTCTGTTTTGGAAATTGATTAGAATATTCATAACAATGCAAACTCCATCCACTCTCTGTATTTTAACCTTGATAGCTTGCTAAAACGAAGCCGTCTTGCAGATCGATCGCAGGGAGTCCAGGGAAAGAACGCACTCTGCAGAAGCTCAGAGGCCAGCAACTAAGGCTGGAGAGATGCAGAGGTGTGGCAAGGCCACCTTCAAAGGAAAAAGGCTCTTTCCGTTGTAGGGGCCTCGGGTAACTGCGGCTGCAATTCCTGTGCACGCCCGCGAGGGAGCCGGTCCATCCTACGGGACTACTCCCGAGCAAACGTGGCCCCGGCCTGTCAAGAAGAGCACGCGGGCGCGCTTTCGGAGCTCGCCCTTACGCAGCAGGCGGGGAGCAGGCCGAGCACGGCCCGCCTCTCTCCCGGCGGGAAGGCGGAGCTAGCCGGACCGAGCCACGCAGCGGAAGGCCGGCTGCAGAGGCAGGAAAACCGCGTGGAGCGCGTACTGCGGCACCGCGGCCGGCAGCATGGCTCACGCATCTCCGCTCTCCAAGCCTTCCAACCCGCAGAACCCGCGCGTCTTTCTCGATGTGGACATCGGCGGCGAACGAGGTGCGGATGCGGGCGAGGCGGGAAGGTGGCGGGCGCCTGGCTGGGGACGCGGGGTGCTGAGCGCGGGGGGCACAGCGGGCGGCGCGGGCCCTCGCGGGGAGCCTCCTCCGGGCAGAGCGCAGGCGGCACGTTGCCCCCGCGCCGGCCAGCCCCGCGGGGGCCTGCTGGGGGCGGGCGGCGGGGCGGGCGCCAAGGTGGGAGGCTGGAAGGAGCGCGCCGCGTCCGTGGCCCAGACGGCGAGGGGAGCAGCGGCTGCCGCTTTGCGTTAGAGCCCCGCGAGCCCGGTCGCTTTCCCTGCAGCTGTTCCCTGCTGCGAGCGACGGGGCCAGAATGCTAAAAGGATAGCGGCGCTTTGCCCCTTTAGGCTGCAGCGGGTGACTGGAAAGCTTTCCCCAGCTTAAAAAAAGGGCTCACAAATCTTAGGATCGCCCCCAAATGGAGCTTCCGCCTGTGCAGCATGCAATGGTGAAGTACAGGAAAAAGGTTACCCTTTGAGGCTGTCGACTGGCTCCCAAGGAGCGAGCCCTGGAGCCGGCCTGGCACGAGAAGGTGCTAGAACGAGCGAGATGTTTCCTCCTACTTACGTTGCTGCTGCTTTTGAAATCCTCCTTGGCCTTGCTCGGTAGATCATTTTTATCCCAACGTGTGTGGCCAGATCGTGATTCTTAAGTGACTATCAGTTGACGATCATAAAAAATTAGTCCCTTAATCAGTCCCCGCGCTTGTAAATGCCAGATCATAGAATACTGCTAGGACACCTTAATGTAAACAGTGTGAATGCCAACATTGCCTGCCCTCTCTAAACTGCAGTTTGATTTTGATCTGCAACATCTATATGAGGTAAGAGATTTCTAGGTCTATTATGTAGTTAGAGGTTGGAAGTTCCTGAAGTACTATGCATAGAAGATGCAGAACTGAACTAAATCACTTCATGACTAGTTCTTAAAAATAATGGCTCTTGTTCACATCGGAATGAGACTTAGAAATGCTTAGGAATTTTCATGTAATCTTCCAATACTTGTTGAAGCTCTGCTCTAAACATGAGCATATAGAAAGGTTGGGATTGCTCTAATAGCACATGTGCTCACTAGGGAAATCGAGAATGTGTCCACGATAGGCCAAACGTGTTGGTACATCTTGTGGCATTTATTTGCCTGCCTTCTAAGACAAGTAAGTATAGATGCCTCATCAGGCTTAGATATCATTAGCTAGATTCAGACTGTAAAGTATTGTGCACTTTGACATAGTAGCTAGAGTTTTTGATTGGTGAGAAACCTGGGTCCAGACTCATAAAGTTCTCTGGGTTTTGTGAGAATTTAACAGATAATTTTTTGTATGGCTTCTATGAGAAATGATAGGTTATAAATACCAAACTAATGCAGCTATTAATCTCCTTAATTCCAGCTGGCCGAATTGTACTAGAATTGTTTGCAGATATTGTACCTAAAACTGCAGAAAACTTTCGCGCATTGTGTACTGGAGAAAAGGGTATTGGGCCCACAACTGGAAAGCCTCTTCATTATAAAGGATGTCCCTTCCATAGAAGTAAGTTTGTATTGTCTTTGTTTGCTTGAGCATGTAAAGGTAAAAGTATACATTACATTACAAGGTTGCTACTGTACTCCTCAGTTTAAAACAAACTTTTTGGGAGGACTATAATTTATAAATGCTTAAATAAAAATATGAAATGATACCAAGAATAGCAGACAATCTAAACAGCATCATCATTAAACATCTGTAAAGGAGGATTTTAAATCCTGGGTTGCATCCTATAGTGCTTAATCCCAGGCAAGTGCTTAGGATTGCAACTGGTTGTCTCAGAATCAATGTCAGTCATTTCAGTGGGGCTTCATCCCAGGTAAGGGTGTGTAGGAATGCATCTTTCAGCTTCCTTCATCTTAAGTGATTGTTGCCAGTATTCTGAGACTTTATTTAGTGTTTTTGCTTTCGATGCATGAACACAAAAGTGGTTTAGAGCACAATTCACTGGGGAGGCCTGTAAGTCTCTGAGCTTGGATCGCCATGGGAATGCTATACAGGGTGGGAGTAGCATTGGGGCAGTCCATCTCTCCACCTTCCACCGTGCAGGTCAGCTGGACAGTCTCCTTCTGTCCCCATGCCCCAGAATACCCTCTTTGTTTCCAGAATCACTTTTCTCAGATGAAGACCTCAGAGGTTCTCACTGTGCCAGCCGTGAGGAGTAGCGGGAGGGCAATATGAGCACAAATCTTCAGCTCCAAGGTCGGCGCTTTTTCCTGACCTTAGATCTGGAAAACTGAAAAAGGTTATTATCCTCTAAATGCTCTCTATGGGCCATAGAATTGCTGAGCTGCAACTTTAAAAAAGCAAGAGATCACTAAAAAACCTGTTCAAAACAGAAGATAAAAACAGTCTAAAAGATCAAATGGAAAATGAAGCTCATCAAGTGATTAAAAGCCCTGAAAAAAAGATTTTATAGAGTGTAGGCACTGATTCAGAAAAAAAAGGTTAGTGGAAAATATATTTTAAAGTGAAGTAAAATTTGAAAATGTTGAATTTAGACCTTTATTTTGATCCTTTAAAATCTGTGAGGACTTTTCTGTTGTAGAACTTAAGATAATTTTTTTTCTTTTGGCCAATTTGTTTTCTAAAAGTCTACTATAGAACCTTTATGTGAATGAAAATATGTAACTTTCTTTGTATAGCTTATCACTGAAATTTAGAAGAATATTGTTACCAGGTAATATTTCTTGCATTATTTTTACCGCTTGGTTGGCAAAACTATTTTATACTTGGAAAGGTTTTGTGGGCAAAACTAATTTTGAATTAATCTCTTTCTCCAGTCTTATATTGTATCCAAATGGGTTGAGAACACCTTCTTTCCCTCCCCATCTTAACACAAACACACTGGCAGTGTATTGGGCTAGCCTGGTGGAATTTGAGGTCTGTGCATACCACTTGTATTCTCATCTAGCTCCCCACATGGGTGGCTTTTGCATGCCTAAAGGGAGAAATGGGGCATTCTTCATCTCTGTGAAAAATTTATAATTCCCTTTATTACATGAAGTGGAGTTGGTTAATGCCCTGGAGTGTTTTCCAGTCTAATGCCATCTTTTACTGTGTTGGTTCTGTTTGCAGTTATCAAGAAATTTATGATCCAGGGTGGAGACTTCTCACATCAAAATGGAACAGGTGGAGAAAGTATATATGGGGAAAAATTTGAAGATGAAAACTTTCATTACAAGGTAATAGGTTAATAATCAAAATGTTCACTGTAATTACATATGATTAATTCCATCAACATAAATAAAAAGGGAAACTCTAGCAGAAGTATTATCATATCAAGTTGTTCCAGCTATTTTAACAAAGTGAAGGGAATGTTTTACTACTTACCATGAATTTAATTCTAGTTTGAGCTCTTATTTAATAGTGCTTAAATGCTGATACTCTTAAAAACATAACATTCTTTACATCTGAAATATCTCATGATTGCAGATTCAGTTGTATTATCAAGTTTGTTGCACCATGTTTTGTACCGCCTTCTTAGAAAATGCATGGGTGTGAGCCTGACTTCACAGTGTGAATACTGCAAGTGTGGCTTATAAGTTGTCTCACAAGCTATTCTACATGTGGATTTGCATTTTTTAGGAGGCTGTCTATGATTTACAGCCCTCAGAATGAGTTTTTCTAAAGAGAATAACATCAGTGTCTCCTTACATAGCACGATCAGCCAGGCTTGCTCAGCATGGCAAATGCGGGAAGTAATACCAACGGTTCCCAGTTCTTCATCACAACAGTGCCAACTCCTCACCTTGATGGGAAGCATGTGGTCTTTGGCCAGGTGATCAAAGGAATGGGTGTTGCAAAGCTACTAGAAAATGTTGAGGTGAACAGTGAAAAACCTGCTAAGGTAAGCTAGAACACATTGAAAGGAACATTTTTCAATACTATATATCCTTAAACCATACAAATAATGTTTCCTCTAGAAGTCTAAAGTAATAGTTGTACTGCAGAAATAAACCCTACTGATTTAGTTAGGTATAAAAGCGCGTGTGCAGACAAATTTGTGGTGATTTGGACTCATATACAGCTTCTTTGACCTTGTGATGGGTATGTATGATGTGTATCTTCTCCCAGTGATTTATATAGGAACTGGCATAATTCAACTGGCATGTCAAGCAAATTTTGTGACAATAAGTATAATACTACTAAGATGAAAATTTTTAAATAAATGGAAGGAATTTTTACCTGTTTTCTTAATAAATGCTGCATGCCATTTATTCTTTTTACAGTTGTGCGTCATCGCAGATTGTGGAGAGCTGCAAGGTGATGACTGGGGAATCTCTCCCATGGATGGTTCTGGGGATACTTACGCAGACTTTCCCGAAGATTGCAGTGTGGATTTGAAGGAAGTAAGTATCCCAGTTAGATATTTAGTATGTATTTCATATCCCTGTGAATTTGGAAATGTTATTGGTGATGTAGTAGGAGTATTAAGACAGAAGATGAGCGTATTGCTGTTGTAATATGGCACTAGGCTCAGTACAAAGTTCTTCATATAGTGCATAACTATAGAACAAGGTAACTTCAAGATTTGGTGGCAATCACTAGAATAGATAGGGTAAATCTGTCCACTGAGAATAAACATATCAATTGCTTTTGGGCAGTGGTAGATAGCAGAGACAGAAAAATAACTTATTTTTGAGCTCCATGACACCCTAACTGGTTATGTCTTAGGAAAGTATTAGATAAGATAAACCTATGATGTGATCTAGCAAGATGATGTACATACTTTTATTCTCACCTCTTCCCTTTCGTGGGTTGTGAATGTATGTTTTCAACCAGACTAGTTAGATGTTTCTTTTAACCTATTGTCACTGCCATATCCATGGATTCTAGAAGCTGTGCTCTATTTACATATCTTGAGTGTCAGAAAATTTTATTAACCAGCTTTTTAAGTACACCTTGCCCATGCAAGCTATATGCTATTAGAAAGCATGATAAAACATGCAATTTTAGACCTTGTTTTATTCAGAATTCGAATATGAGGGATTTACATGAGTGGAGGCCCATTGCTTGTAAAGCATGTATACCAAGGGGGCACTATGAATTCTTTGAATGACAAAGCAAAATAAAATGCTTAAGAACTACTTCTGATCAGGAAAGAATATTCCAGAACAAAAGCTGCTGGTCATCTCAGTTGGTTCAGAGTTCAAGTGCCTTAGAAGTTTTATAGCTGAGCTCTTCATAGACAATATATTACTTTTAAGAGTCCAACTTCAAAATATAGCAGACTAAATGTTAATTTGAGTTATGTGACAACACACGTAAAACTTGCTACAGCATCAGCTTCTACTGAGCATTGTGTGGGAAACTACTAGCAGGTTGGCTGATTTAAATGTTTCATAGAACCATTTTTGAGTACTAAGTGATATAATTTCCTCATTATTTTTGGTAGATTGACAAGATTCTGTCTATAGCTGAAGATGTAAAAAATATAGGCAATACTTTCTTCAAATCCCAGAACTGGGGAATGGCAGTCAAGAAATACAGCAAATCCTTAAGGTAACATTGCATACTGTTCTGAACATCTGGTTTAACTGTCTGTCTATATATGCTTATTTATTGAAGTGGTTGCCAGCAGACACATAAACAAGTAATTTCTAACATAAGTGTTTCTAATTTTATTTTGTGTCATGGGAAGACCTACCTTAGAGGAAAAACAAGGCTAAAGAGAAAGGGTTGGATCCAAATTAGGATAAAATCCTGTGCATATTTAGACAGATAAAGGCCCCACAGCTGACATTCCCTAGCTAACAATGCTGACTGGGAAATGCTGGGAGTTGTAGGATTTTGTTCTATCTAAACACACATAGGATTGTACCTTTAGTTACATTTTTGGTGCTACTGAAATTAATAGTATTTAATTAGCATTATTAATGGTATTAGTAAGCATTTAACTCATGTTGTTTCACATCTAGAAATAATAATGCTACCTTGCTTTTGTTGGCCAGCTTTTGATTTAGTGTTAGGACACATGCTACTATAATACATTCATCCATCTTACTTTGTACAGGTACATTGAAGCTTCTAAAGCTGTTGCAGAAGAGGTGGATTCAGCAAAGTTGAATGCTGCAGCATTGACATGCCATCTTAACATTGCTGCATGCAAACTGAAACTATCAGAGTGGCAAGATGCAATTGAAAACTGTAATAAGGTAAATGATTCCCCCAATAAAAGCTGTTATGAATTGAAATAGACTATTTTAAGAAGCCTATCATTCTCATGCTCATTAAGAAAGATGTAGTTAAGTAGAACCTCTTGCTTTCCAGGACTCTTACCTGGTAATCTTAAATTCATGGAGGGTTTATTCATAGAGGCTTTGAGTGTTAAAGTGATCATGTAGGTTTCTTATTTTAAAATGTTTGTCCTTCTTAGCCCAGTATTGATACCACACAATAAGACCATCACTAGCCCATTTTACTTCTGACAAATGAATTGCTGGCATGTTTTGTGCATGCTCTCATATTGATAGGGCCTCTCTGTGTGTAAGCATATTTGGGTGCATGTTCCTTGATCATTGAACACTGGCAAGTTAATGCTTCACACATATGAGCTAATACATATGAAGAACATTCAAACATGATAGTGCAGGCATCACTTTACTCATAGCATTTATTTACATAAATCAGACCTTATCAGAAATTGATTATCTGTCAAGGTGTCAGTAAGATGCAAAGTCCTTTTATTGGCACATTTTGAATTCTTTAGTGATCATAGTAGAGCAACTAGTTCCTCTTAAGTGCTATAACATCCACAGGCAACTGTACTATGAAGTAACATGTTTTCTAACAGGTAAGAATGCAAGAAGATTGTGCTGCTAGGAGCAAGCCCATAAGACTTGCTTTCTGATAGGTTGCATAGAAATCTACAGCCATTGATTTAGATTAGGTGAATAGGGAAAACTATCCAAATTTCAAATAAAAGTAAGAGGGGTTACATGAGTTGTCCTCTCCCATGGCATATCTCAGGAAATTAGTTCTTAGAGAAATCCTGCTGCTCAAACTACAGTATCTGGTTTTACTCCACTGCTCTCATTTTACAGGCCCTGGCGATAGAGTCCACAAATACAAAAGCACTTTACAGAAGGGCTCAAGCGTGGGAGGCAACAAAAGATTACGATCAGGCATTGGTAAATACAAGTATTTCTTTTGACTTAAACTTTGCAAGAAGCATTCGTTTACATCTTGCTCAAGTCTTTATTTTTCTTCAAAGGCTGATCTTCAGAAGGCTCAAGGGATAGCACCTCAAGATAAAGGTAACCTGGCAATTTGTCTTTCTCTCATACACAGCTTTGCTCCACTTAAAACTAAAACATACACATTCTAATTAAGCCAGGATAAATATCCAAATGTAGATTATTTTTTAACATAGCATATATATTTTAGGGGGTTGGAGGAAACAGAAGAAGTTCACTATCTTGGAATGCATGCACATGATAAATTATGTAAAGTTAAATACATTGCTTAGTATTCTGTAGCTTTTTGACCAACTTATTCCTAAATCAACTATCTCAGAAAACTAGTTTATTTATTGTTAGTTGGATGGTATCTAAGTCGGTTAACACAAATTGTGGTGTCTAACAAAAACTTAACACAAGTTTTTGTTTACTTCCTTAGCTATCCAAATGGAAGTCCAGAAAGTTAAGCAGAAGATAAAGCAAGAGAAGGAAAAGGAGAAGGCAGCTTATGCAAAAATGTTTGCTTAAGTAAATATTGTTTTCCTTCAGTTTGTGCACTGATACAAAGGCAGGATTAGTACTAGTAGCTGTGGCAGCATGCTATTGACTGTCATCTATACTGATGCTGTTTTTACGTGTTTACAGTTTTGATTTTTCTTCAGGTTCTAGATAATTTCAAATATATGTCATCATCAAATTCAGTAGTAAGACACATAACAAAAACCTAAAAAGTGTAATAAAAACTTCAGAATGCTCCACTGCAAAAAATGTGGACAAGGTCAGAACTGTACTGAATGATCAAGTTCGGCAGGCTACTTCTACCCCCATAGTCCCTACCTGTAATTTTCATTACTGCAAATTCAAATCCTGATGAGGTGGTATTGAATAAACTGAATTTCTAAGCATCCTGTATGAAAAGTATTTTTATTGTTTAACAAAATGAAGTTACATTAGATTGTCTCTGGCAACTAGCACTACTCTGTTTTCATTCTTGTAGAACACAGAAGTCAGTGATGAAATTTGGTTATAAGCTTTTAATGCACAACTTTTACAGAATTTAGAGATTGATGTTCATATCTTTTACTTTTGTTTGCATCCATTATTGGCATCAAAGTCCAGCATATATAGGTAAATCAGACCAGACCAGTCCCACCGTATATTCTCTAGTACAATGGAGAAGTATACTCTAGTAAGGCTGACATACCTTAATACCTTTTATTGACTGTTAAATGCACTACCAAGGTTAGCTGTCAGTTGAATGCTAACTTCTTAAGGCACCATTCAGATACCAATAACTTACAGCTGTATAATCCTGTCGACAAGAAGGTTTTTCAGCTGCGATCAAGATTACATTCCATTATAAGCTGGCCCACCTCCACCTTCAGGTACAACCCAGTTAATATTTTGGCTGGGATCTTTAATATCACATGTTTTGCAATGGACACAGTTCTGAGCATTTATTTGTAACCGCAGTCCATCTCCAGTTTCCACAGGAACATATTCATACACTCCTGCCAAATGGAAAATTAATGTTAGTACAGTCCATTGTGAAAATAGAGAACTCAAGTTAGAAAAAGGAATGTGAGGGGCAAAAGAAGAGCTGGAAATGGAGCAGTACACCAGCAACTATAATTCCATACTCCCCACAAAATTGTGCTACGTACCTGCAGGACAGAATCGTTGCTCAGGTCCATCATATATAGCTAGGTTGTGGTTGACAGGTACACTGTCATCCTTTAGAGTCAAATGAGCTGGCTGGTCATGTTCGTGATTTGTACCACTTAGAGCCACTGATGAAAGCAAGTCAAAACTGATTTTTCCATCAGGTTTTGGGTATTCAATAGGGGTGCACTCTTTAGCTGGCTTTAGCTGCTTTGCATCTGTCCCTAAAAGGATAATGTTATAGAGAAAATTGCTCACTACAAACCAAAAAGTAATTAATAGATAAAGATATAGATGAATTCCATCAAGTATTACTCTGAAATACCATCTAAGTAACCTCCTCCTCAAACAAAACAACCTATGTCCCTATGTGAGGTGTTACAACAATGAAGGATGCAATTATTTATGTATCCCGAATTTAATATTCTCGGTAAACCCATTTCCACTGCTCCCTCCCCCCATCTACAAGATTGAAAGGACAAAGCAAAGAGATAACTTGCTCTCAAGGACAGGAGACCATTTTGTTGTGCACAAGCAACGTGGCATTAAAAAAGAAAAATCCCACCTTTGAAATTATGAAAAACGTCTCATTTTGTTCAGTGGCACAACAAATTCACAAGCAGGCTATTTGTCTCATTGCCTAAATGTGGCTCATTTTCCCATGATGGGATGTTAACTGGCTATGACTACCTAGGAAAGATCTTAGGGTTATTGAGTAAGCTCACTAAAAATGACAATTTTGTATTTCAGTAATGGAGACTAAAGATTAGTTTAATGGGACTGAAATTGCTAAAGTGATCAAAATGCTGAAACATTTCTATAAGGAAACCTAAAGCAACTGGGCCTTTCTGTTTAGATAAAATTTGATGTTTATAAAACAACACATGACATGGAGACAGTAGCTAGAAAATCTTTCCACCTTTATGATCATTCAAAGATAACAGTTGGCGCATAATGGCCAGTTCCTTGATTAAACAAGCCAGGAACTGGAAACATGCTTTCTCCCTTGCTCTTTGCCCACTTGCCATTTCTGATTACAAAAACAACCCAGCAACAAATCATGGGTTAAAAATCTGGGCTGTTACTAAGCAACCCATCCTGATCAGGGCACATGTCATGGCTGTAACCATGCTGCCTTCCTGGGTGTCCAGAAGTGGAAGTAGACAGCAGGCTGGAGACACTGTGATTACTCCTATGGAGCCACACTGAGTTGTCTAACCTGGGTTATATTCAAACCTGTTGGGTCTCCTGAACACACCCAGGAACTACTACTTAGTTTCTACACAAGTAATTTAGACTGAAATCTTGCATATGCATTTGAAATTAAGTACTTTTGAAATCAATGGGAAGAAGGCTCCTGAGTCCCTTGGACTGCAAAGAGATCAAACCAGTCAATCTTAAAGGAAAGAAAAGGACTGCTCTTTAGAAGGTCAGATACTGAAGAGGAAACTCAAATACTTTGGCCACTTCATGAAAAGGAACTCACTGGAGAAGCCCCTGATGCTGGGAATGATTGATGGGAGAAAGGAGAAGGGGACGGCAGAGGCTGAGGTGTCTAGATGGGGCCACTGAGGCGGTGGGTGTGGGCTTGGGTGGACTCTGAGGGATGGTGGAGGAAAGCCTGTGGGAATGTTTATGGGGTTGTGATGGGCTGGGCACAGCTTTGCAACAAAACAAAACAGACATATTTTGTTATATATATGATCAAACTTTAACAGAATTTGGCATTGTAAAACATGGTGATGGCCGCTAACTTAGCAGGCTTTTTTAAACAGTGCTGGATTATAAGGATATTGGTAAGTTCCAGCAATTTTTAAAATTTCACTGTAATGATTTTAACTTAAAAAATGAAGGCAGTTGACAAATATTTTGTTTATCTGCAGTGCAGAACTTCAACCCTGCAAGACAAATCTGGCCCTTTGGTATATGCCAGATGCCAATGTCCCCATTCCCTTCCCCTGCACTACCAATTTTGGTGCTTTCCTGTTTTTTTCTGTCATTCTTTCACCCCCCATTCTTTCACTCAGTTTTCCCCACATTATAGAAGGATGAAATGGTTCTCCCTAAAGGATCAGGCCTTTAATGTGGCTCCACAAAGTTGCTCCAAAATGGAATCCAGCCTTCGTGTGGAAAGAGGTTCAACACCCCTAGTATACACTGCACTTTTACTAGATAATGCTCTTTCAGAAACTTACCAGGGTGTTTTAAGGTCCAAGGCTCCATTCCTCTTAATATCCAATAAAATATACCGGTGTAAATCATTCCTCCATACACACCCAAGGCTCCATGGCAGGAAGGGCGGATATTCCTGACTGCATAGAGTTCTTTCCATACCCATGATTTTTTCAAGTTGTCTTCATATTCAGATACATTTAGCCCTTAAGAATATAAAGCTGTTTATTAAATGTTTGTTGAAGAAAGTTAGCATCCCATAGCCTTTCTGTCTCACAGAATCATAGAATAGTAGAATTCGACTAACAAGACTAAACCCCTGCTCAATTCAGGATTCCAAGTTGAAGCATTCCTGACAGGTGGCTGTTCAATTGTCTCTCAAAAGGTTTCCAATGTGGGAGAGCCCAAACCTCCGTAGAAATTTGGTTCTATTGCTGTACTGCTCTAACAGGAAGCTTTTCTTGATATTAAGCTGAAATATGGCTTCCTGTAAGTTGAACCTGTTATTCTGTGTCCTGCACTCTGGTACGGTTGAAAAGAAATCCTGGCTCTCATCTGTGTGGCAACCTTTTAAGTATTTGAAATTATCATATTTCCCCTTTCAGATGACTACTGTTAGACTTTCCACATCACAACAAACTCAAGCGTTGCTACTTCACAAACTGAACATTTAGGCATGTTAAGGTGAGAAATTTTAAAAGGCATTTTATTGATTGATTGATTGATTGCTTTTATATCCTGCCCTTCACAGTATCTCAGGGTGATAAAACAATAAGTAAGATCCAGCATCCAGATAATAATACATAAAATCAGTCTTAAAACACTACTAATATTTAAAATAATGGGAAAGTAAAAAGGTTTTGGCCTGGTGCTGAAATGAAAAAAGCAGCAGCACCAGGCACACCTCTCTGGGGATCTCAGCTTCCAAAGTTGGGGTACCATTGCAGAGAAGGCCCTTCTCTGGGTAGCCATTCTTCTGATCTCCTTCAAAGAGGGCTCCCAAAGAAGGACCTTCAACTCTAGATCTTGGAGGCCGGGCAGGTATATATGGAAGGAGGCGCTCCTTCAAATATCCTGGTCCTAAGTTATATAAACGTTATCAACAAGAAGCATCAAATTAATGATCCCTGTAATTGTGGAGTTAGTTCTTGATCAAACCAGGAGTTGATTCCAAGTGAAATTCCCCTCCTTCCTTCACCGCCAAACCATGGAGGTTTGTGCTGTTTGTGGGCTAGATGGCAGAAATGCCAGGTGTTACTTAATTGGTTCTCTCATTTGACTCATTTGACTTGACATTGGACCACAGTGCTGATAAAGTCATATCTTTCTCCCTCTGATCGTCCTTGTTCCACAATCTATCTCCCACAAACCAGAGGCAGTTTGGTTTTCATCATCCACTTGGCTTATCTCAGCTTGTTAACCTTTGCATTTTAGCTTATTGTTCCAAACCTGCCTCTTATTCAATTTCAAATTCAGAGTCTGAAATCTCTGCCTTGGCATGCTGTATTTTGGGAAAAAGTGGGCCCAGTTCCTATAGTACAAAACTGAAACCTGGTGAAGAAGTTTGTGGGACAATATACTAACGATACTTTTCTAGTCACTAGGATTTTAAAAAGACACTGATGTCAGGATTGTATTAAGTCAGTAAATGGCAGTCATAGACTTACATATCAGGTGAACTTACCTGTTTTTGATTGGAGATTTTCTTTAGTGAGTTGGTTGAAGATGGCTTCTGAAGCCATCATGCCACTCTTCATTGCAGTGTGGGTACCTTTAATCTTAGGAACATTCATAAAGCCTGGACTACATCCAACGAGGAGTCCACCAGGGAAGGTGAGTTTTGGTATGGACTGAAAGATAAACACATTAAGACTCCTGCAAGCACCCATTGTCAAATAAAAATGACAGGTTAGGGATCTTCATGGACTCTGTGCTTTGATTCTTCGAAGCTTCCAAGATATAAATCAGGCTATCCCAAACTAGGAGAGTCATCCATTGCTACCTTTCTAGCATTACTTCAACATCTACAGCCATATCCACTCATATCTTAATTTCCAGTCTGATGCAATTTGACACCCAAAAAGTCATTCATTTGCAACTCCACTGGGGTTACAGAGCACTCGATAAGAAAACCGTGAGCATGGTTAGGGTTCCCTAAGAATAACCCAAACATTCAAGATTATGTGTACAATGACTGTATTTGCCCCACAGTCGGTAACAGCATTCTTCAGTCTGGTACTATCCAGGTATTTTGGACCACAACCCCCAGCATTTCTAATCATTGGCTATACTGGCAGATAGAAACTGAAGACCAAAATACTAGAGAAGACCAGGTTGGCAAATGCTACTCTACAGTTTAAAGAAAACTTGCTTTAAACTATTTGAAGTGTGAATAAGAGTAAGACTGTGGTGCAGCAAAGAGATTACAGGTCCAGAAACATCACTGCTTGATGTATGTACACACACACAAGAGAACTGACACCACTGCCCCATTAGGAAAATGTGCTCTTATATATATGCCTGGTTAACTAGTAAAGACAAGACATATTTTAGTGCTAAATGCATGAGTAGGAAAGAGCCTAAGCAAAGCTCAAATTATATTAGCATATCGTATTACTTTCAAAGAATCAGATGGCTGTCACCTACTATCCACACACTGCAGTTTTTAAAAAGTTCTAGTAAAACAAGCTATTTAGAAATGAACTTGTTTAGAAACAGATAAGAATTTGTTTTAAATTATGATCTTTGATTTATACAGACCAATATTATTTTAAATCTGAACTAGTGAAATCTTCCTGGCCTATTTGAGGGAGAGAAGGGATTGGGAAAGGCTTTGCTCAGCCATGTTCATACAGTGCTAAACTATGATTGGTGTTATCTGCAAAGCAGTCCATGTGACATATTCTAGAATTACCAGTTTCCTAAATATGACATAAATGATAAGGGAATCTGGGTATTATGGAGGGTTAAAAGGTCATCTATAAATGCCAGCTTTTCAAGGAAGCTACTATATTTGTTAGCTTTACATTAACAAAATGCATGAATTCATGATATCCAGGCAATATTTCTAATCCATTTCACACCCCTCCTCAATTCATACAACCAAATAATACACCAGAATAGTGAAAAATATCTAGTATTTTAACTATTTCTAGTGTGCATGTCACACTATATCTAATAATCCAGAACATCTGTCTTCTCTGGATCTATCTCTGACCAATTCAGCAGAATTTTGACGCTAAGGAATATAGATTTAAAAAACTTTATCCCTGGAATCTTGCAGCATTTACAAATTAATGTTTAACTAGTAGACTTAAGTTCAGAGAACAGTGAACATAACTGTAAAATACGACCTACAATGCATGTAAAAGAGAAGAGCCACAAAACTAGCATTACGTGTCTACAGCAGAAATGTATAGCAGACAGCAGACCCCTGCCCCCAATAATATACAGTTAATCTCTTTTGAAAAGAGCTTTTGACAAGGCACAGTCATAGGTACCCTAAGTTCTTTTGAATGGAAATAGCCGGGGTAGGGAATATTTTTGGGTCCGTTTGGGTTCACATTCGGCCATTCGAGAAACTGTGCTGGGCGCCATCATAAAATGACTGCTAAGGGAAGTAACCTGCCCCAGGGGCTGAACATGGGGCATAGGTGCCAGCATAGTAAACTATGGAAGCCGCCCCGAGGCTTATGTGAATAGGGTGGCATATAAGTTCTCCAAATAAATAAATAAATATAAATAAATAAATAAATAAATAGTAAACAACTCATTTGAACCAACATACTGAAGCATTCCTTTGACCCCATAGCCTTCAGCACCAACAATACTATTTTATTGCAATTCCAACTGCCAATAAGATACTTTTTTAAAGTGGAAGAGGTAGGGCATCACTGGGGACATCAAGAAAGGTTTCTGGGAGCACACTGGTGCCCACAGGCACCACACTGCCTATCCCTGCAAATATGAATTGATGAACTACAGGAGCCCCATATTTTGAAAGCTATGATAGAAAAAACAAGGTAGGAGATGTACTCAGAAACAAACCACTGGTACAATTTTCTGTGAGTGTATCTCACGGGGCTTAAAACAAATGTAGAAACTCATCCTGTTAACTGCCGCTGGAAGTACTTGTTCATTTAATCCATAAATACAGCATTTACAAGCAAGCTCTATTTTTTCTTTGTCAAAATATGCAGTTATGCTGCAAGATATAACTCTTAACACACATCCTGCAAATCTTACCTAGAGATGGGCTTGTAGTGTGACTTTTCCCAGGACTGTTTGTAATCTATCGTATTTTAAATTTCAAAGGACAACTTGAGACATCTGTAACAGTTCAATCACCAAACCTTTTTGTCTTTACTAAGGCTGTAATGTTTAATAGATTAGATCCATTGGTTAGACTAAATTAATTTAAAATATGTCTCACATTAATCAGACAGCAGATTTTAAAAACGGTTAATACAAAATATAGAAAGTTCAGAGGGCAAGCTCCTTCTAAGAAGAGACATTCCCTTTCATGTGATTGCAAAATGGGAATCCCTTTGTAGGATGATAACTACTGTGACAAGTCTGCATCATGTAGAAAGAAGGAAAGTGTTCTTCATTAGAACTATTTTCTTTCACATGCATATATAGTCAGCTAAAATTATAATCAATGAACTGAAATTTCCTGATTGGGTGTTAGCTCTAGTTCCTACCTAGCAGCAAAGTCCAAGTCTACCTTTAGTAACCTTATGTTACTAAACTGTTACCTGGAAACCACCTTCATTAAGTGCTCGGGCACCATAAGCAATCCTCTTTCCGCCTTCTAAAGTAGGCTGCACACTGGGATGGTGCTTCCACCTCTGAAATTCCTTAAACGGGCTCAAAAATGGGTTTTGATAATCCAAACCAACCTAAAAAAACAGAAAGGTTAAAGCAGCAGGACTCACTACTGAATATACATGCTTCATTTATTTAAAACCTCGGTGGCTATGCAGTTGGTATGGGGGGAAGGCACTCTCGCAAGTATCCTGGTTCAAAGTTATTTTGCATTTTATATACTAGTACCAAACTCTTAAAACCTTATTTATATCGAGTGAATATAGTGAACTTGAAACATTTTGATAAACTCTAACATACTGCATCCCTAATTCTCTTGCCACCCATGTTCTTATGCATTTCTCTTACACACATGTACTCCTCCCTACTACATGTTTTGTTGTGTTTTTTGCAGTGCAACTTTGCACAAACAATATAAAGATAATACACAAGAGTCTACTAACTAATCCAAATTGTAAAGAAAATCTACGCTTCAATATAAGGCTTAGGTGCCACCACACAAATTGTTTTGCCTAAAAAGGTATAATGAGATTGTTATGTATGAAACGATTCCCAGTTCAAGCAATGCAGAAGGGCTGCCCCTGGGGCAATGGTGAATCAGGGGGAACTTAAATATTCCATGAAGGAAAGCACCCATTAGATGCAAAGCGCCTCACATAAGGATCTGGAACATACAAGTTGTTTTATATTTCTGAGCAATTTGTTTCAGGAACATTTGGTTCTGCCTTATAGGACAAGATGCAATTATATGTAAAGTCTTGCTTCAGTTTTATAATAAACAGTCAAAAAATGAAATTTCACTGCAGATAGAAAATACCTACCACAAACCCAAGAGCTACTAGTGGTTCACCCTCATTGAGATGATAAAGAAATGATCCTCCATATGTGTGTCTGTCCAAAGGCCAGCCAACAGTGTGCTCCACTCTTCCTGGCTTCCATTTATTTTCATTGATAAGCCACAGCTAGAAGAAAGACAATACAGTCAATGCAATTCACCAGTCCTTATTAGACTTTAAACCAATTTAAATTCTATTTGCAGGCTTTCTAATTATTGCTTCTCATCTAATACTATACAACTTTTCTAGAGTGGATCAAAATGGGTAACACCACTGATACAAGTAGGAGGAAGCCATTTATATAGCAATATGATTTCATTACCATGGTTTTAGCCATCATTCCACTATGGAAGTCACACATGCCACTACAGTAAAACAACAGCCACACTATAGAGGTGAGTCCTACAGTCAGTATTCTAATATTTGAAAAATCTTTCCAGTTTGACTGTGCCTTGATTTTCCCTTTATTTCGGGACACAGTCAATTAGTCTTAAGGCTAAAAAGAAACATTTATATACTACGCTCAGACATTGTTTACAATGTAAAAAATAAGATTTTTAAACAAAGCCTGCATAAATAAAGAATGCTGTGACTGCAACAGAAATATAGTAAATTCAACCAAAGCATGCATGCAGCTATGTTGAAAAGAACTGGTAACAGAACTCGTTTAGATCTAGCGATAATAAATGATTGGTATTATGCAGTAAGCAACAGTACTGCATTGTCAAAGCAAAAAGTTAGGTTGGTTAGGCATCTTTGTATTCTAAAGGCTAGTAGCATATTTTCATATAATTTGTGCAGAAAAAGTTTAAAATCATATCTAGGCACATCAAACACAACATGAAAACAATAAGCATAGTAGTCAGCACACTTATATCACAGAACAACCTTTCAATTGTAATCAATGAATATTTCAGGAATACCTCCTTAAGTCCAATCCCATATGTCTGGGGTTGACAGTTCTCCCTTAGATTGTATTTGTTGTACAATTGCTTTGCAAGATGTCCATGACAACCTTCTGCAAACACTGTGACTTTGGCATGTAACTCCAAGCCTCGCTCAAATGTAGCCTGCAACAGAAGAGCATTTACTAACATCATGGTGATCATTATGATTTTAAAATACTGTGTTATGGTTTGCCAAACAAACATGATGTGAACATCAGATTGGCTAAAACAACATAATCTGAAAGGAAAGATAGCAGACTAGTATTCTTTTGTACTTGTGTTGAGGCCAATACAATCTGTATACATCAAATACATTTGTTATGTGCTCACTAGTCTGCAAATACTAAATAGAAATGTTTATAGAAAAACAGGCACTTGGCTACATGTGGTAGACAATACAATTAGCCTCTGGCAGCTCCCGCTTCACACAATATGGGACTGAAGTACAAATGGTATTATAAGAGCACAATCCTATGCACATAGAAATAAATTAGTCTTACAATTCTCAGCATTCCCCAGCCATCCTGTAGGAGGTGTAGAACTTTTTTCATCTAAATATGAATAAGATTGCTCCTTAAGTGCACGAAGCACACATGAGACATAAAATTTAATTTACCCCAGAAGTCACATTGAAAATGAGCTTTCTAAAACTATTCTCTTGCATGTTCATATGCTGTCCTACTCAGAAAGACTTGAAAAGAACAAAATGAATTGTTTTTATCTTCTAAAATTGTGTAGTGTTGGAAGGTATTTTCAATCCTCAAACACCCGTAAGTTGTTTTTTCTTCCATGTTTTTACATCTAACTCTTTCAGAGATAACTGTGGTAGAATGCTGAGTCTCCAATCCTTCACATTTTTGTTTAAACAAAGTCCTGGTTCACATGACAAAACAGTCCATAATGGGTTAATTTACTTGCAGGGGCTATTCTGCTGCATCTATATTTTTGCATGGTGCCCTTGGTTGCCTAGCTTGTCATGGTTTGTCTCTTGTGGGAACCCAGGTGGCAGAAGTTGTTTCAGGGTTAAACAACCCACAAATAACCCAAGTCTTGTTTCACGGTTAGTTGAGGTTTGGGTAACTCTCAAACATCTCTTGCTGCCTGGGCTCATATGACAAAACAACCAACAGCATGTCAGGCACACTGCAAAAATAGTGCCTACAGGAGTCCACAACAATGCAGCCGCCTACACAAGTGAATTAGTCCATGATGAGTTGTTATGCCATGTGAACCAGCTCGTCATTTTCCAGCATACAGCTTTGTGATAACAGTACAAAAATGTCTGTGCTAATGTTTAACCTGTATCTTTGGTCCACTTATTTTAAGTGTATTACTTTGTGTTTAGTTAAATGCCCGCCTTAAGCTGCAAGATGAAAGCAACACTCTCTCCTTAGTACTTAGGAGCATTTTAATAATATCCATTTTATGAGGCTCTATCTGGTTGGAAACTATGATATGTTAAGCAATAAGCAAGCATTTACCTTAGGTGCCCCATCCTTTTGGATACCAACATCATTTGTGGCAATCCCTTTCACACTGCCATCTTCATGGAAAAGAACCTACAGGAACATCAAATATAGTTCTATAATTTCAATATATTTATTCAAATGAATGCTAGCAGAGTTGTTGGACTACTGTTGTACATTTTTAGGACCCTGACAATAACACTTTTTCTAGTTGCGTATATGCATAGAACATCCTGGAAGTTGTTGGATGACAGTTAAGGATACAATTAAATGCAAGAAGGTATGTGCATCCTGCTTGTGGACTTTCCAGAGGCATCTGGTTGTCTACTGTGAGAAACAGGATGTTGGTCTAAAAAGATCTTTGGTCAAGTTCAGCAAATTTTATACTTGCACACAAACATAAGTAGCAATAGTTCTGCCATTACCTCAGCAGCTGCATAGCCAGGATAGACTTCAACACCAAGTGCTTCAGCTTGTTCACCCAGCCAACTGACAAAATATCCTAAACGAACTATGTAATTCCCATGATTAGTCATTGGAAGACCTAGTTAAAAAATGCATCACAGTTGATTTCATTAATCAATGAACGCCAAGCTTGATTCAAAGTTTGCATTTTATCATCACCTGAAACTGCACAGTGAGCTAAGCATTTATGACTTTAATTATATGGCTTTAACTATGAGAAATTTTACAAGTACACAAAATCCATTATTAGTGCCTGCTCTGTGTTACTACTTATCTATGCTATGCAAATAGATGACAATCTTTTAAAAGTTTTATCCAGTTCACAGAGACATTTCTTTCTGGTCACCAAAGGGGAAATTCTTACTTGCCACACTCCCACAGTAATTAATTTGCAAGCTTATCCTCATCACAGCTTATAAGCTACAATGAAGTGATGAAACATAGACTCTCTAGTGAAGCAAGAATTTGCTTGAGTGAAAGAACAGTTCATATAACCATTTTATACCCTGATTTAAAACTACAGATGCACATTAGGAGTTTTTCTTCACAAAACTGTACCTGGAAGAATGGGAACTGGGATTCTGTGCTTCTTTGTTAATATTCCAAATTTGTCTTCTGTTACTGAAGTATGTAATGGAGCCTTAGAAAAAGAAATAAAGGAATATAAACACATTTTCAATTCTTTTCTCGATGCTGTGACCCATAATTATAGAGTTACTCTAAACTACAGAAAACATTTATTATTATCAAAAGATTAATTACAGAATCCAAACAAGAAAATTCAACTCCCCACATTCAAAAAATTAAAAGGCGATAGCAACTCTAAGTGCCATGGCTAGCAAGTGATCCCTTTCTTCTTATTTATGAACCAGATTTGGAGATTGTGACATTTGTCTTAATAAACATGAACAAGAAGACAGTGATGTCCCAGAAAAGCAATTGTACTTCATTGCTGATCTTCCCCACTAAAAAATTAGCTATAAGATTAAATATATAAGGGGATGCTTTTGTCCACATCTGATATATGTCTACAATTATTGCTTCCAGGTACTTTCTATTGTATAATGATCTGATGAAACATATTGTAAGAACAGTAACTAACTTGAAAATCTTTAACATGTTTTGTTACCAATGTTAAGTTAAAGATCACTAAAGTAGAATTAGGTACGGATAAAAGACATATAAGCTTTCTTACCCCTCGCTCTTTCCAGTCTGGGAAAAGTTCCTCCAAGGCACGTGGCTCAAGGCAAGCCCCAGAAAGTGTATGTGCACCAATCTGAGCAGCTTTCTCCACCAGGCACACACGAATTTCTTTGCCATGTTCACTAGCTAACTGCTTGAGTCGAATAGCAGCAGCAAGTCCTGCAGGGCCTGCTCCAACTATCACAACATCAGCTTCCTCTGCAAATCTTTCCATGTTTACCCCTTTAATAGAACCATTAAGAAAATTAGATCTGGGTTGGACCAATGCTATCAAACCAACTATCCTTTCCTTCTAAGAGTCTAATCTGGCAGCTTCAGGTGACAAACTAATGTGCTGAACCAAGAGAAGACATTTAGATGAGAAGATGAACTATTTAAATAGCAAGTTTCTTAGCAAATGACTAAATTACTATTTATTTGGGTGAATTATGGTATACTTAGCATAACAATGGTGCTAAATAAAATTAATATTCCATCCAGAACCTTGGACAGAAAGAAGAAAGCTCAACTGTCGAGGTAGCATCCCAATCCTGTGTTATTATTCAATGTAAAAATATACCCAGTATCTGTATAGAAGATCACAAGAAGGGTTTAGCATTATTTTCACACAGCATCCAACCAGCTGCGTTGGAAGTCCGCAGGCAGAAAATTAGTGCACTAGCACTTGTGTTCACCTGCAATTGGTATATAAAGGAGGCGATATACAGTTGCCATAACTAGTAAACACTGAAAGTGTTGGTGATGCATAGCCATAATTACCAATAGCCTCCTTCAGTTTGTCTAAAATTCATATTGCAGAATACTATTACACAGACTGCTGTAGGAAGCTAGTTAAAGTAATGAGTTTAAGGTATGAATGTTCATAAATAAGGTGTCTCTGGTACTGAATCAAATCAATCAGCTTTTTTTCACAAGCATATCTTTCTTTCATAATCACAATGGTATATGAACTACAATTTCTGGATTCTTTGTACGCTATCAAAAGCAAAACAAACAAGCTATTTGCTTAAGTTCTATTTAAAAAATGAAACACATTACCCCATTAAAACCTCAGTATGTAAAAAAACCAAACACAATTAAAATAATAAGCTAATGAAAAGGAAGCTATGAAAATAGATATAGATTTACACAGTTCTGCTCCTCAAATATAACTAAACCACTTACATCTATGTCAGTTATACTGCAATGCTGTACCTATACACTGTGAAATAAAACACAGTGAGTGCAATGGAGCTTAGTCCCAAGTAAGTGGCCATAACACTGCAGTCTTAGTATCCTAAAAGAAAATAAAACTCTGTCTTTCCTTTCTGTTCATCTGTAGGTAATTCTTAGCTACCTGCCTGTTGTGACCATTTACAAGCTTGGCTGTTCCATATCTATGTATTCTTTAAACATTAATGAAGTACCTTCCCATCGTTTGTCTTTGTCCCGGGGGTGAATGGTATAGTGGGTGGTGATACGAGGCACAGTCGAAGAAGACGACCATCTTGTAGCAGACAATGGCAAAAGGCACTCTTTTCTCACTGACTTCAATGCAGAAAGATAACGATGTGCTGTTGCAAAAAAACAAAACAAAATTTCTTTGTGAGCAGTCAATTTTATTTTACATCCGTAGTTTTGACAAAGGTACAAACATTCCACTAATGTATTAGACAGCATACTGTAATATATTCCATAGCTAGTCTACAATTAACAGAGGCAGCCTTCCAGAGATGTTAGGCCTGTCAATGACAGTACATGATTTGAACAATCCATGGGCTTCCAGGGGTGAATAGGAAAGAGTGCCAGCCACTTCCACTTTTAATCAACAACCTAAGACTGGCTCTTTCTTAGGTTCTTGAATGTGCCGTGCAAATCCAGAACAATAAATTGTTCTGGGGCTAAACAACTCAGCAGTTAACTCAACAGCAAGATGAACTAAGGAGATAATTTCCTGATCAATAAAAACGGAAGAGAAATAATACATTAAAAAACTACAAATTTTGCAAGCAAGTAACAGTGGTGTAACATATGTTTATTAAAATAATATATTAAATTTATTCCTCCTGTCCTCTGCAGTGGACAGTGGAGATATTCTTACTGAATATGGAAGTTAATTGGAGTGTTGCTTGCTGCTTCAGTTCTGAATTTCAGACCCTACTGACCTGAGTAGAGGATTGTTTCACAGCATCCACTCTAAGTAATAACACATACACATTTCCTGAGAGGTATTATTTTGGATATTGGATTTTTCTGGATCCATGCTGAAACAGACACTTTAAATCATTGAAATTCTAAGGAATGAGACTGTCAAATTTGTAACAGGGTTGTGGTATTTTTTTCTATTCTTATAACCTTTATATATTCCTGAGAGGTTGGTTCAAAAGTTGATTTTTAGTGGAAACTTTTCTTATGCAATTTTAGCTAAGTTGTATGAGTTATTTTTAAAAATGGTTCATAAATTTTATTACTACAATACTAGTGTGAAAAATATTTTTTCTGATCTTATAACCCAATGATAAACTATGGGTAAACTGCTGGGTTGTTTAACTCCTGCAATTCAGAATACATGATTGAAAACTTATAAACTGATTATGAGTTGATTAACAATTAAAGTAGCAGAAACACAAAAGGTAGTCCATATGCACTTTCTTGCTCATGTGCAACAACTCATGAGACTGCTATTATGTGCAAATTAGGTCATAATATGTATACTGATGTTGGTTCTGTGCCAGCTCCAGGTTCTTTCCCTCTCCTTTGCTGTCGCCGGATACATAGTTTTGGATTTTAAAAAAATTCATAACATTCAGAGATCAACCACTCATCAGCACAGTTCTCACTGATAACTTGTTGCTTCCCACACCTTCCAACATATGTTGCATTTTATTTTCTTGATTGTCTTTGTTTCATTCTGTTTTATTGCAGTTTTTATCTGTATACTCTGTTGAACACACAATGGGCGGAAAAGCAACATATAATCACAAAATAATACATAACAAAAACCAAAGCTGATATGGTTCACATCCAACAGAATCAAATTGATTTAATATGCATGAATTTACTTAGTAGCACCTACTGCCCATAATATTGCAGAACACACACACAACATAGCAACTTGATCATGCAGAACTCATCTGGCTTTGCCTCCTTCAATTTTGTCAATGGACTTTGAGGATAAAACTCTAAACAAGTGAAATACTTGCAAGTTAGCATCTTTGAAACTTTAGCAACTGCTTGCATGTATTCTGTTCCTGTTTTTTTCTTAACATCATTCCCTATTTAGAGATGCCTAAATTTACAACATAAGTTGGTCACATGACCAGTGAAAAGCTAGGTCATGTGACCAACCTGTGAGAAATTGGAAGGTAGGTTGTTTCTGTTTCTAAATGAGGACTGTGTGCATATGTATCCTTGACTACTAGGAGACTGAAAAGCAATGGGTCCCAATTCCTGCCATTGCTATCAGATGATACCATAACACAATGAAAAGAACAGGCCGTTACACACAGAACAACATTTTTTATTATACTGAATATACGACAATTTTAGAGTACAGTCAGGCAATAGGTGCTCAACTACTTGATTGTTCACATGTCATTCTACTATTCTTCGTGTGTTTTACTTCATATTGCATTTGCAGGTAACATACATGAAAATAAATTCCTTGAAGCTCACTTAACTAGCACGTAAAAGGAAGTCTAATGCTTCACTTTTACCAAATGCCCTGCCTTGCTTATGTTTGCCAGCTGCAGAAAATCATCATTTAGTATGTTATTATACAATGCGAAAGTCCATGTGTCCAGTCAACAAAGGTGCAAAAAGAATTGGTCCTGGCACCTGGTTTTCTCTAAATGCTAGCAATCAAATTTTTGTTTCTCCCATAAGTAGTACTGCATGTGCCCTAACCCTAAGCCTCTTCCGATCCCCTAACCAACAGCTACTTGCGGAGGAGGGACTCTTAAGTCAGAAGCTATCACTTTCAGGTAGACTTTTTCACTTCTCAGTCAAACATTCCCTGGAAGAAAAAAAAAAGGGCAAGTGGAGTGGAGAAGATGACCAAACGACCAGGAAGAACACTGGCACTTAATCTCCCTGTCATTCTCCTTCCAAGCTGGTTCCTAAGTTCTGTAAAATTTTCACTTTATTATCATATCAAGAGCTATGCTACAATCATTGCAGAAACCTGTGTGCAACCCTTAAGAGTGATCTCTGTCCAAACAAATCTGTTTCGTAAGATATAACATGTCACTCACCTTTGACCTAGTTTTACTTCTGGCCAGCAGGGCTGAAGAGAAAAGCGCAGGAAAGAGGGGACCTGTGACATAGGGCAGCTTTAGAGAAATACTGGTTCAGAGCAGCAGGCAGCCCACCCTAATCCCCACCCCACTAAAGTGAGGAAGCAAGATTTCCACTGGTTTGTTGTCGTCCTTATTCCCATGACCTTCGTTTGCAGGCATTATGGTCACAACCTCGCCTCTTCTTGGACTTGCCCGTTGCACTTCAGAGCCAAACCCTAGCATCATTCCTGACCTATAGCACGGAGTTTGGGTTGGGCATATAATTTTTTACACTCCCTCTACTCCCCTATCCTCCATAGACACCAGGCACAACAACTGTTCTAGGTAACGACCTCTTCGGAGAGTGAGTGGCGATCAAGCTGAGGTGACAACACTCTCTCTCTCCTTTCTATCTCTCTCACACACACACCAGTCTCTCGGTGGAAAGAGGGAGTTTCTTCACTTCCCATCTCAGCAGTAGGATTCAAGGAAGAACTTGCTGCAAGGGAGTTTTTCCCATTTCTTTCTCCTCCTCTTATATCAAACTTCCGTGAGAATATTTATCACTGACATGCGCGAGGGTTTCATACTGAACACCTGTTCATTTGTCTAAACAAAAAGAAAAGCATTTACTCCAAGATCTTTATCTAAATCGCTTTAAAAGAAAGAAACTTAAAAGAAATGCATCGGTGGGTGGGGCAAGAAGACACGTCTCTTCTCCTTCTCTGGGAGCTCACCCGACAAACCTGTCCTGAAAGCGGACTTTAAATGCACTTTACCTTGACGGGAAGCCTTGCAGGCAGGCAAGAGCATGGTGCTCGGCTGAAAGAAGCGGAGGAGTCCCCTGACAGCTGCGGGGAATGGACGCCCTGCCTCTTGGGGGTTTCCCACAGATTCCTTTCTATTTTTCCCTCGGGTGCTTGAAGGGGCTGTCTTGGCCTCTCACGCGTATTCGCGGCCCCTCCAGTTCTTCACAGCAAGGGATCCATGTTTCTCCCGCAGACCGCGAACTAAGGTAATCACTCACACCTACAAGCTCAGGTCCAAGCCGCGGTGGTTGCCGTACATTTTGGAAGTGGGAGGGCCTCTCAAAGTCAAACCTCCATTTAAAAGGGAAACTACAATTCCCAGCAGAACCCGCAGGAATAGCCTTCGTGACACCTCATTGCGTTCGGTGGGGGGGAGGAGCTGCGAAAGGCTCGCTGGGAAGAGTTAATAGTGATAGAAATATAAAGAGTCACAGCTCATGGAAGCCCGTATTTTAAGTCTAAAATCCCAGCCAATAGAAAATAATGGACATCGACCACTTTCTACTTTGCTGTGTGTTTGAGACACTCTAACCGCTTCCAAACTCCATCTTGTATATGAAATCGAAGATGACAAACATGTGCAAAGGATCTGACAAGCTTTTCCTAACTTTTGGTTCATTTTGGTCGTGGCTGCCCGATTGGTTGAGGCAGCCTGCATGAGGGGCGGGCCTAGCGCTTATAGGCGGGGACGCAAGGCGCGGTGTGATCGGGCGCGGTATTAGAAACCCTTTGAGCGACACTTCCGCGCGCGCGACCGGCGGCGGGCTTGGCCCCTGAAGGATGGCTGAGGCTGCCTCGGTGGTCTTCGCGCCCCGGGATCGCGCCGGTCGCGCAGCGCTGCCGTTGGAGCAACGAGCAGAGGCGCCGCGAGGGCCACTGGCGGTGGTGGAAATGCAGCTTGGCGACGTGAGTCCCCTTTGGAGTTTTCTGCCAAACGGGCCTTGAAACTGGGCGTTTGGGGCCGTTTCACATGTCTCACTGGCTAACTTCTTTTACGATATCTTACTGCACGTATAATTTCCCTTTCCCCCATTCTAACAAGGAACCCGAGGAGGCTTACATGATCTTTCTCTCCATTTTATTCTCACAACAACCTTATGAAGTAGGTTAGGCTAAGAAGCAGTGACTCAAAGTGATCTTCGTGGCTTATTGGGGAGTAGAAGTTGGGTGTCCTGCGTTTCAGTCGAAGACTAGCAGCTGTCACGTTGTCCATTATTACAACAAAGTGCAATCCTACGTAGCCTCATCTTCATTATTTTCTTATTAAAATAAAAGTTTGTAAAAGGAAATTCGGAAAGGAGTACAGAAAGGCTGTATATTGTTGCCCTGCTTATTTAAATTATATGGAGAGTACATCATGAGAAAGGCTGGGCTAGATGAATCGCAAGCTGGGATTAAGATTGCTGGGAGAAATATTAACAGCCCTTAGATATGCAGAAGATACCACTCTAATGGCAGAAAATGAAGAGAAACTAAAGAGTCCTTTGATGAGGTTGAAAGAGGAAAGTCCAAAAGCTGGCTTGAAACTCAACATCAAGAAAACTAAGATTATGGCATACAGGTCCTCTCACTTTCTGGCAAATAGATGGTGAAGAAATAGAGGTGGTGACAGATTTTTTTTTCCTGGGCTCCAAGATCACCGCAGATGGAGACTGCAGCCAAGAAATTAAAAGATGCTTGCTTCTTAGGAAGAAAGCTATGGCAAACCTGGACAGCATACTAAAAAGCAGAGATATCACCCTGCCAACAGAAGTTCGTGTAGTCAAGGCTATGGTTTTTCCAGTTGCAATGTGAGAGTTGGACTGTAAGGAAGGCTGAGCACTGAAGAATTGATGCTTTTGAATTCTGGTGCTGGAGGCGACTCCTGAGAGTCCCTTGGACTACAAAGAGATCAAATCGGTCAATCCTAAAGGGAATCAACCCTGTCTGCTCTTTAGAAGGGCCAAGTACTAAAGGTGAAGCTCAAATACTTTGACCACCTAATGAGAAGGAAGAACTCACTAAAAAAGACTCATTCAAAAAGATGCTGGGTACAATTGAAGGCAAAAGGAGAAGGGGATGGCAGAAATTGAGGTGGCTGGATGGGGTCAATGGAGAGGTGGGTGTGGACTTGGGTGTACTCTGGGGGATGGTGGAGAACTGGGGAACCTGGAGAAATGTCCATGGGGTCACAAAGTCATGCATGACTTTGCAACTGAACAGAACAGAGATGAATGAAATAGAAATCAACTTAAATCTAGTAATTACTCAAAGGGCTTGTAGTGATATTTTAAAAGATTACCTTAAATAAAACTAAACTGTACTATTTTATTTTAAATTGCAGGCAGCATTTTCACTGACTCAGCTTTTGGAGGCCACCTCTGCAGTGTCAGCCCAGATAGAAGAACTTGCAACCAAATGTACAGAACATGCTCAATTTCTTAAAACATGGCGGTGCCTTCTGAAAGAGGGGTATGACTCCTTGAAGCCCAGTGACTAAGAATGAACAGTTAAATAACTCCATTCTTTTAACTACAAGGAAACTGAAGTGAGATTATAAACAGCACACTTTACTGCCAAAATATGATATGGGGACTCCTGCAACAATCTTTAGTTTTAAATCTGCAAAGGCATTTAATGTATAAAATGATAAAATCTTTACTTTCCCTTTGATGTTTAAAATTAAAGTAGCTGCCTTACAGATCACCTTGAAGCATGCTCATCATGCATGTTACCTGTACTTGACTAAAGGAATACTTTCTGAAAGAAGAAAATTCTTTGCAAGTCTGGTGACCTAACTGAAATAGTGATAAGTTTCACTCATCTAAAAGTTGAGAGTTCACTACTTTTGGCTGACTTACATACATAGCTTATACCATGGATTCTATGTGGACTGTTACACTTAAGATCATTTTTTGTAAAAAGAAATGGGTGTTTCCCTTCTCTTAGACTGTAACATCAAAAACAGCCATATAAATATTCACAGATAAGGCCATGATTGTTTGAAAACTGATTGCTTTTTTACTTGTGTGCACTAAAACTTTATTGCTGCCAAACAATCTTAAGATATTTTTTAACATATAATTTTGTATTCTGGTCAACTGATCTCAGTGGATTTTTGCAAATTAAGCAGAACCTAAGGATCCTTATTTGTAATAGAATATAGGATTTTAAATTCTGCTTTAAAAAGCATACTCTTATTTATTGTATTGCTTCTATAATAAACTATTTATTAGCTAAACATATAATACAATATACTGAACATAGATTATGTATCTTTTATTTGGCTTCAGTTTCCTCAGTTGTTACCCAAGTATACTCTGCTTCCCCTGTAAACAAATCCTGGCCTAGGAAGAGTTACTATCCAACAGTTAACCAAATTAATGCAACTACAGTGTTTGCTTCAGTATTAACAAAAGGACAGGAGGCTGGAATGACCTTTTCCTCTAGTGTTTCAGATTAAGTAGCCAGTGCTTCATCACTGTTGCCAGCAACCAAATGCTGGGTGCTATGTTTCTGCTGAAAATGACAAGTCTATGGAATGAAATCTTTCAAATGAGCAGTGTTGCTTTCTTAGCTTTAGGAAATGTCCTGATCAAGCTTAAAGTATTAGAATATATTCATGTGCCTGACTAATCTAAACTTGTGTAATGATTTTTAATCAAAATACATTATGGGATATGGAAAAATAAAATGGCATCCCATTTTCATTAGTATTACAGAAGTAAGTTGCTTTAAAAATTAGTTCAAGACCTTCTACAAGGGCAGGAATGGGAGACCTGTGGACCTTGATCTTTTGGTTTATGGCATCCTTGAACCCTCACTCTTGTCTATGTTGATCAGGGATAATGATAGATGTATGGCAAAACATCTGGAGGGGCACAATTTGGCCATCCCTACTTTACAGGTTTTGGTGTGCTACTTGCTTATAGTAAGCCAGTTGAAAATGTCCCATTTTTAAAGTCCTATTTATTTCAGCAGTTTTGTTAGTCATGACCAAAATTGGATCTAGGTCTTCCAATAGGACAGGACCCAATCTGGGATCCAAAGCAAGTTGAAACATGAAGGCAAAAATAAATAGGTGTATCCAAGCTCCTTGTTCTTATACTCATATCCCTGACAACTCAAGAACTAAATTAGCAAACTACAGACTGACTGCAGCAGTTTTCCCAACCTCTGTAATGGAGGGTGAAATTTCCTATAGGTGTGCAAACGTCATTCAGGTTAGTAGACTGATACTCAGCCTTTAAAGGCCAGGGACATCGTAAGGCAACAGACACAGGTGCTTAAGAGCCATGTTGGATTGGACCAAAGGACTATTTAGGCCAAAGTTCCCCCTATGACCAATCAGCAGCCCACAGGATCTCAGGAGCTGGTTGAACTCGAGCACTTTTGTGCTGGATTCCCCAACAACTGGTTTGAGTCATACTGCCTCTGATAATGGAGGTACCATATAGCCATTGATAGCTTTCTCCATGAATGTGCCTAATCTGTATCCAAATCAGTGGCTATCACTACATCTCAGAAGTGAATTCCATAGTTCAAGTCTGTGAATAATTGCTTCCTTTTATCTGTCTTGAATCTGCCACCATTCTATTTCATGGGGTGACTCTAGCTTTTAGTATAATGGGGAAGGGGAAGTTTTCTCCTTTTTCATGATGCACCATGTATACCTGTCCTAGTTTCACTTAGACAAAGGGCAAATAGAGAAAGATATCTCAGATGTTTTAACTTTTCCTCAAGGGGAAGTTGCTTCAACTCTTCAATCATTTTAGTTACCCTTGGCATTTTTTCCAGTTCTACAATATCCTCTATATCACTTTAGCATGGCCAAATGGAGTTATCACATGGCTAGAACTCAAAAAGAAAATGGAGTTGAAACATCACAGTACATTGATCTTTCAAAATCCTCTTTCAGAGAACATTATTGCATGATTGTTCCCCAGGCTGTACTTTATTTGCAAATGTTCATAGGTGCACATTAATAGAAACTAGATAACAAAAAAATTATTTGCAGCCAAGTCCAAGGTAGTCCAAAAATCTGTAAACATTAAAGTGCAAGTCCATGACTTCTGTTCTCCTATTCTGTAATATTCCAGTGCAAATACTTAAACATTTTTACAAATAAAAAAGACCAAAGTCATTCCTGTCTTTCTGAAACATCATCTTGCAGACCTGCAGCCACAGAAAAGTGGTATTCCTCTGTTAAAAAAAATACTACAGTAAGGATACTTTTTCAGTCATATCAAACTGAAATAGTTCAGATCCATGTAAAAATATTGAATACTCTAAGTCATTTCAATTTTTGTATTGTTGTTCTATACATGTCTTACTCCCAAGTAAGTGGATAGAAGATTGGAGTCTTAAGAAAAAAATACTGCTTTAAAATATAATACTGATCACTGTGACTCTAAGTTCTTCAATTAACATGCATTTTACAACTGAAGAATGTTACACTTTCAAACTGTCAAATAGTTAAACTATTTAAATGAAAAGCTTAGGCTTTGACTACTTTTATTTTAACATTCTGTTCTTTCCTTATCCACCCACCAATATTTCCCCAGCTCCAATCACCAGCATAAACAGCTTTTCCTTTCAGTTTCTTCCCACCTACCCCAGCAGGTTCTCTCGGCTAGTTGTTCCAGAGACTCTGTGTGATAATGTTTTTTGTCTTGCAAAAGGCTTGGATAACAGGTGTGTTTCACTGTGATAAGCGGCAATACCGCCAGGATAATAGTGCAGAAATGTGACTGTATTTTGCTTTCAATTTTCATCATGTGTATACATTTAGTCTTGCTGAGTGTGTACTTATCAGTCCTTTAGAGGAATCTGTGTAATGGCTTGGTTTTGTTAACTCTGATGAAGTGTCTTCTGCTGGCCACATTTCTACCCAGATGAATGATGGGCTATACATTTTCTGACTGCTTTTGTTTCCTGAGGATCTTCTTTGCCTGTAATTGTGCCACGTTTGATGAATCATTTCTTTGAAGGGCCTGGTAGTCAGTGTATAGAGAAGAGGGTTCAAGGCACTATTTATTGGCAATATAAAAATCACAACCCAGGAAGTGATAGAACCTAGAGGAAGGGAAAAAGACTTAATTCTACGCATCTTTCTTTTTAAACAAGCAGAGTATATGCTATATCTATGAGATTAGTCTGGATTTATGCAAGTTTTCACATCTTACCAACTATTCTATTAGAATAGTGAGAAAAATTCCTCTTGCTTAGGAGTGTGAATTATTTCACTGATATGTGAGTGTAGTTTTCCCCACAAAGAAGCCATGCTGTCTGGGTGTGGACAGCAACAATCTATGCCTGAACATGTAATTACAGAAATAGCAGCTGGCAAACAGTGCTACCTAAAATGAGCTACTATGGTTAGTTTGTGTGAGCTAATTCAGTGAGAGGCAAGAGGACTGGATCCAAACCACGGCTACTAAGAAAGATTTGCATGCTCAGCAGAATCCAAGCTTTGCAGAAGTAACATTAAAACACACACAAACACAGCAGTAACCCTGCCCAAAATATATTCGGCCAAATGAGTGATGAGTATGTTCAGTCTCTGTGAAATGTTGAATGTCATTTGGAAGAGAAAAACAACCTGTGTGTGGTGAGAGGACGAATAGGGCAATGAAATGGTCTACCTGGGCTTCCAGTTCATAATCTCTTGAAGGAAGTTGTGACTGCCTAGTACAATTCCATTAGGGGTAGGAATCTTATTGCAAGCCCCTTTCCTTACTTCACATTCCCCCATCTGCCTGTTCTTGTTCAGCAGTTACCAGCCCCAGATGCCAAGTGAAAAAAGCAATCATCTAATTGGAAAGGAAATTGGCAATACCTGGAATTTCAACTTGAAGCAAGGAAAGCAATTTAAGTATAAATATGGGTATCCAGCATAGTGCATCAGTAAATACAATGAAGAAAAAACGTTTGGCAAGTGTCATCTCTTTCTTCACATGATTCTGGATTTCCATTGCAGTAATGGCTGTCTGATGAATGCTATAAAACATACTTCCATAGGAGAACACGATGATGATAAATGCTACCAAATTGACACCTGTTACAGAAAACAAGCTGTGTTACAATTTCACTTAGGAGGCTACTGGATCAAGCACAGACCCACTATGTTGTAACTTTAACAGATGGAGTGCTAATTTAAAATATACAGAGCTGGAATCTAAATGCATAGCATAACTATCTTTTTGAGTACAACATTCCAATGCCTTTAACAATTACCCAAAGTACTCATAGTATAACTGAAGCATGTTTTATTTGATTGACTTCAAAAGTTTAAGGTTAAGGAGTAGTAAGGTTTAAGTAGTTTGTAATTACAGTTATTTTCAGAGTAATATGTGTGATCCAGTAAATAAATAATCCAGAATTCTAAAATGAGAGAAGTGAAAGTTTTCTTGTATATGGAATTTTATGTTATGTATAAAGCAGACATGGGCCTGTTAAGTGTTGATGTCTTGGAGCCATACTACATATGTGATTATATTTAACATACAGATTTTTAAAAATGTAAATTGGATAAGGGGTGTTGATGGGATCAGAGCTGGAACCCAAAGGAGATACAGCCCTTTCCTCCCCTGCTGTGGTGCTGAGGAAACTCCCTCTTCTGAAGCTAGTATTTGTTTGGGAAGTGGGGAGAAAACAGGGCACACAGTTCCTCCAGCCAATGTCAATGAAGATTTCTCTCCAAAGCAAACACTATGTGCTTTTCTCAGGATTGCAGCAGGGGAGAGAAAGGTGCTTGTTATATTGTATTCATAGTTCACCTTTCTTCCTTTTGCAAGGAATTCAAGCCATCTTGCAGGGTTCTCCTCTCCATTTTATTCTCACAATGACAATCTTGTGAAGTAAATTAGACTGAGAGTTAGTCACTGGCCCAAACTCACCCAGTGAACTCCATGGCTGAGTGCGGACTAGAACCCAGATCTCCTGAGTTCCAGTCCAGTCCTCCAACTTCTATATCACACTGGTTCTCAAGGGTTAACACCCAGTACCATACCTACTGTCAGGTACTCAGTCAGGTACCAGCTGGTACAATATGCATCTTTCCGCTTCTGTATAAACAGCTGTTAGGTTGCTGGCTACTTTTTTATTTTTGGTAAAATACACCCTTTCTATAGAGAAATTGGAAACAGAAAATACAGGACAGCAATAAAATGGCTTAAGGTATAATCAACAGCAGGAAGAAAATGATACAAAGATCTAAAAGCATGAAAACAGTTCTTAAAATGCCCAGGGAAATAAAAAGGCCATAAAGTAGGCAAGTCACTGTAGGGACAATATTGCAGAGACAAGGGTTGACCTGCCTCATCACGTGTGCCTTGTTCTTTGCAGACAAGATTCCTATATAATTTCAACTCATGGTGTGAGTCAGGGTCTGCTTACAGCTAGATAAACCCTAGTTTATCGTAGCTGAATGTCATGTCTATGCAACAAGTTACTATTCCATTATAAGTCAGAGTGATCAATAATTTTACTTACCTAGAAAAATTATAACTGAATAAATCTGACCTCCAGTACTTTCAGACTGCTGAGAGTGAAGAGGGAAACAGACTCCATTAGCACCATAGTAGTTTTGGAAAAAGTCCTTATTGCTCAGTGGAATAAAAGCAACAATGAAGCCTATAATCCAGATGAGAACCAAAATGGAAATTGTTCTGTATTTCCCTGGCTTCAGGAATCTAAAGGGATAAACTATACAAATGTATTTTTCCAAAGTCAGGTAAGTTAGTAACAAAACTGATACTTCTGTGGATAAAATGGCCAAAGATCCCACCAGTTGGCAATGGATACTGTCCATCCACAACTGAGCATGCTTATTGTACTCCCCACGATATTTCAGGTCAAAGGCTGCAATCACAAATAAGTATATACCCATGAGGCAATCTGCACCTATGGAGAAAATGTGTATCAGAACATCATATTTATACTAGTGTAATTAAAATCTTCAACATGTAAAGCAATCAAATACCTGTTAAAGACCAGCTAAGGGACCCCTTAGATACAGCAAAAGTGCTGTTCCACCAGGAGAGAGGAGTTCCGGTGGCAGGACAACATTTCCTTCTGCAGACCCTGGTATACTCTTGGAAAACTCTGTAGGGTGTAGAATAGGGATGCACAATTTTTTTTTTCTTGTGGGCCACATCCTCTTGAATCTGTTACAGGGACTACATGTTGGCCAGGCCAAAGCTAAAAGTGGGTTTCAGATCATAGGTGTGAATTCATTGCTTCCAGAGGGTTTTTGAAATTATTTGAGAACATAGTTTGTCTATCCTAATACCACTCACAGCGTTCCTTCTGGCAATAAGGCCCCAAATGAGGTATTCCATTGGCATGCAGGGGGTGCACCTGAATTATCAAAATTCAAAGCCCCACCATTTTCATGAATCCATCCCATGAATAGTTCCAGCCTGGAACTGGCATAATTGGTACTGCTCCCATTTGGGTCAGATTTGCTGAAAAGAAACTTAAGAAAAAGCAGATCCCCTTCAATCTTCCCATCCTGGCTGCAGTAAGCCAGTTGGGGTTAGGAAGTGGCAGTCTCCCCACCCTCAATTTAGGATAGCTTGAAATCTCAATGCTGGGCTTAAATTAATCACAGAATTAGGCATACTCAAGCCTGTTGGTTTCAGTGGATTGGTTTTAGGCCTTTGATTTTGCAATATATTTTTTCAGGTGGATGATTATTTGGAATCTAATATAGAGCTTTATGTATTTTTGTATTGTATTGTTTTTATTCTTTAGCTTTGCACTAGTCACTGCTCTGGAATCTTCCTACATATGGGATGGTACACAAATATTGTAAATAAGTACATAGATATGTCCTGTGTTTTAGAAACTTTAGATGCTGCCTTATTCTGACTCAGACCATTTGGTCCATCTAACTGAAAGGGAACACAGTGTTGATAAGGATGATATTTGAAAGGTTACTTGGAAAGGATATACTCATGGATGTGGTTCTTGCATGTGCTATCACTATCTCAGAAGGTTTAAGACAGAGATATAGAACTTCAGGCCCAGGGTTTCAGACATCCTCTGGGGTAGTTCCAAAGGCCATGCTCCGTTCTGGCCTCACCCCCTTTTCCCTGCTTACTGATTATTTGGCAGTTTAATGGCTTTTGTGGAGCTTTCCCCCCACTGAAAAAGGTTGAAAAGCCTCTGCTAAGCTAAAAGATGCTGGCATTATAGCATTGGTGCCATCTTTTTTCTGCCCCATCTCTCACTCGAATGGATCTTACAAGAGCTGCTCAAAAATGGAATTTGACCATCAGATTGAAAGAGATTTAACAATCCAGATTTAAGAAAATAATTCTTGGCGCTCTGTGTACCTTCTAGAGAATGGCAAGTGAATCCCCATACAGGTACAGAAACATTTTCTGTAAACATCAAGCCAGAATATTTTCTGCAAGTGTTACAAGACCTTATTAGGTCCAGTTTTTAATGGGTAGTGTTCAGCTTTTGGCATCTTGGATTTAGCATTGTTAGACTGTAATATTTCCAGGCTCCTTTTTATATTATTTTACTGAAATGGAATACTCACAGCAGAGAGACATGATTGACAGGGCATGGAGTTTGTTCTCTGATCGAATGTAAGGCCTCGTGCAGACGACAAAGATGTTTCCAAAGCAAGTGACAGAAGACACAACCCAGACAAATACTCTTTGAATAACACTGGCTAAGAGGTTCTCAAAGGATGAAATACCATCAGTATTTGGTTTACAGCTGCGCACATGAGGGGCATAGCCACAATACTGAAATTTTTTAAAATATCTGAAGGGATAAAAGAAAAAAGAGATGGCTTTTGTGTGTAAAATCAATGCACATGAATTGCATGCTTTATGAAACTATTCATATGTTTTTGAAACTGAGAAATAAACTCCTGATAGAATAGATCAGAAAAATGACCTGATCCTGATAGTTCATAAGTCCACTAACATTTGGGCTGTGAGGACCTCATAGGATGCTGGCTTACAGGTTGGAGGCCGCACACATGTACACACACACAGACACCAGTGACTCCGATGCCCTAACTTTCTGTGGGAAGCCATTAGAATGTATGTCTCTATCCAAGAGGTTAAAGTAAAATAGCTCTTTCTATATAATACTTACATATGGGAAAGATCTTTAAGTGGTCTGAACATTCTTCTTTGGATATTTTTAATTTCAATGCCTTCTAAGCTTCTATAAATATTGGAAATAGAGTATTACATCAATAAGTAAAAATGTTTAGGAGAACTGGCTAAAAAGAATACATACATTAACATCTTTTGTCTTTCAGCATATTTTATCTATCTTTAAAGTGTATTTCATGGACAAGGCACACTAAGGAAAATGAAATCTATTTAATACACTGAATGTTAACTCAATTCACAGTGAAGGATGTGATGTCAAAATGATGTTCAAGTACTCTGACTTGTACTACAATCCTCTACATATCATCTCGGTATATCTGTATAGGATTGCAGCCTTAGCTAGCTTACAGATCCAGGAAAAATACGTAGTGGGATAAGTGGTGCATGAGAATTTTTTTTGAAAGAAAACCTGTTCTACTAGACTACTTAGTCTACATTTTTGAATATTCTAAATACAACAAATTCTTATGTTTCTATATAATTTCTAATTTGCAGGAAAAGAAAGGAATCTTCAATTTTAATGCCTCCAATAACTTTGACACACCATAGTGTACCTTTTAATCAAAATTACCCTTTACTAATGCAGAAAACTACAAAATACTGAAATGCACTGGCATAACATGGATGAGTTATCACAAGGACTGCATACACTTACAGTGAGTTAAGTTTTCTAAGATAATCAAACTGGTCTGCTTGTATTTTCTGGATTGGATTGTATGAAAGATTCCTGTAAAAACACACATACATCAATGATGATTTTAATATTCTATAGTTACCTCAAATGTACTAGATACTACTCCATTTCAGTAAAGATCAATGGATTAAAAATGTGTGTAAGACTCTTCAATATTTGTTGGGCAGACGATAGCAACAGGTGTTGAATGCATCCAACAAATGACAATAGTATATGTACTCAGACATGCGTAGTTTAGTTTTAACCATTGCGAATTATGCATTGGCAACTCCAGTGCTCTCTGCGTGGGACTGTCCTTAACGCTAGTTCAGAACCTCCAAATAGTACAGAATTCTGCCATGAGTCCCCTGAATGGAGTGCCTTGCCACGCATATATAGCAGTTATGTTGAGTAACAGCTCAACAAGAAGTTTTCTCTGTGATGGTACCTGTCGTTTGAAATAAGCTCCCCTCTGCAATAGGCCTGGCGCCAATGCTTGTGTGCTTTTGTTGAACGAACTTTTTATCCTGGCCTTTCCCAACTATTCTTGTCTTAATAATTTTGCAGTTTGACAAGAATGCATTCTTTTATAATTTGTTGTAAAGTGCTTTGAATTTTTTTAAAATAGAAAATGGTACATATGTTAAATAATAAATAAGTGACATCTTAGAAATCTTCCTTAAAGTTGCATTTCTGCAATAAATAGTGCAGTTACTTGTCATATGTAGTTCTAGATAAGCGAGTAGTTTTTAAACTGGCAGAGACAGAAGAGAGCTAAATTTTCTGCTTTGCCCTTTGTTTTGAAGATTTAGGCAGGGTTTAGACAACGCAACAACTCAAGGACTGAGCAGATTGTCACTGAAGCCTGGGTTACCACTGAAATGCGGGTTACCTATTGCCTGAAAACAGCCATGGTTTGTTAACCAAGAACAATCCACAATTTACTATCATGAAACCATGGGCGGTTTGCATGGGTTGTTAAGGATTAACAAAGCTTTTACTAATCTAATTCAAAAATATACAACTCACTTTGGATATCCTGGACTTATGGGATTTGATCATTAACACTGCTCACCATACATAATAACAGGATAAACATTCTATATCATAAACATCAGAGCAACTTTTTCATAAAATCTTTCACATGCAATTCACAGGAAGAATAGGTACACTTTTTCTTTCTCACATGATTACACTTTTGTCAGGGCAGAAAAACTAAATCAAAACCAATCATGGTAAACATACATAACGATCAACATACATACAGTTGTGAGAGTACTTTTAGATCCTTAAATAGAAGGGGAGGAAGTGATTCAATTTTGTTGTTAGCCAAATCTCTGTTGGGAAAAAAAGAAACACACAGAATGAGGCTTTTCACATGACCGAAAATGTATATCAGACTGGAAAAAGATAAAGTGTTTCCTGTTAGGAATTGTAACATCATATTTTCTGAGGGGATGTATTAGACAATATGTGC